CTAAGGATTACTCACTATCATTATCAATGTTTAATATATCTTTGTCCTTTAGGATTCCTAAGAACAATGAAAACATTTCTTGTCATGATAGCCCTGGCTGGACTCCTGACCGTCTCCGTCACCAGCCGAAGTTTGTCCAATGAGCCCTCGATGGCTACKAACTATGACAACTGCATGATGGCATGCGAGGATGACTTAAAAAGCTGCCGTGACAAGAACAGTGACGATATCGCAAAATACTTTGAATGCGAACCSAAAAATAAAAGCTGTCAGGATAATTGTGCTTCTAAATAGTTATAAAGACACGGATCATAGATGTTGAATCAAAAGAAAAAATTAAATCTAAGATAACCATCTAATCAAGTCAATTTGGATAATTTTCTGATTTTTCGCGAAATTGAAATTAAAAGGATACTTAAAAGTCTAACAACTTCATGAGCTCTTGATTCCCAGGGTACTATTCCGCTGTTACTTGTTCCTAGTTCCCACGAAAACGAGGAACCCTGAAGATCCCCTCCCATCCGAGGACCTCCCCCCCCCGAGGATTTGTTTTATGGTTTCTCCAGACGGAGGACCGTTAAAAGAACCCAGAACTATTCGACTAAGAGTAGGACACAGAGTTCTTGTTGGTATGGTCAGGGCTTAGTTCTAGGAACTTGAACGTCCCCTCCTGTCATTTGTGAATGGAGTAATTGCAAAAAGAAAAAAAAGGGCAAAAGTGGATGAGCATTCGGGACTAAAATGTTGAGTCAGCTCGTGTGCCCTATAATTACCGGGCTGTTTTAGTCAATACAGCCACAACATGCTCAGTGTAGCGTGTGCGCAATGCAACGACCTACTTCTCTCCGTTTGAAAGGCCGGTGAGTTCACTTCATTTGTAACTGACTTACTGACACATGTRCTGTTGTCTTTTGAGACAGTATACCCGTCTCCACATCCACATTGGAAGCTTCCAGGGGTGTTGATGCATTGTCCTAGACAGCCACCATTATTGACCATACATTCATCGATATCTAGAATAAAAGGGAATGTTATTTAATGGAAAGAACAAGAACAAATGAAAAGAAAAGTAAAGAAACAAGGGTTATCCGCCAACACCAAACTAAATGAAAATTCCTGGATTTCAAAATCATGTTTCAAGAGACGAAAGACCAGAATAGATKCTAAGGGCTTGACGACCATTTGACTTCTGAGGGTGGAAGTAGGGGATGAATAATTTGGAAATAAATTTCCTGCAGGACAAGTGAAGTAAAAAGGGAAGAAAAATGTTGCAAAGAATGGGGGGAAATATATACTATCTAACAATTCGCAACAAAAAATCTTGCACAGACCAAATCATCCACCCCACCCCAATCAAAAGTCAAATGGCCAGCTCSTATTATGGAATCTTTGCTACCAACATGGCCGCCGTGACGTCACCAGAAGGCAACCAATAGGACGCAGAAGGAGTAGGCAACATACCTGTGCATGTTTCTTCATCAAACTCCAGCATATAACCAGGAAGACATGTGCAAACTCTTCTGTTAAGATGATTAGTGCATTCGTGAGAACAGCCGCCATTGTTGAGATCGCATGGACTMGGAACAACTACAATATAAATGGATTTGCGTTAGAGGTTTTGTGTTAATCTGGRTGTAAACTCTTCATTAACTTGGCCCATGACTAGACTGAGGTACTTGAATATTGGCAGCATCACGCAATGGCCYCCATAATGGATGATATTAACACTAAAAAGAAATAACGCAAAGATATATCAGTAAGTTACTATTTAGTAAGTTACTACTTATTCGTCGTTTCTGATATTATGAAAACCTCTCTATAGGTGCTGCACACAGTGGTCAACAGCTAGTAACTGTCATATCATGACAAAAATTCTCGGAGGTCTCGAAGTGGATGCCATAGTCCATGATGTCGATGGGATTCCGCTGTTTGACATCGTTCGGTATGCTCCTCTCTGCCCTGCCAAGTGAATTCATGTTCTTTGAAAATCATAGCTTCATTCGCTCCCATTCTACTTTTCTCTGTGAGTTTCTCAAAGTAGATTGTCTTTCCTTTCGTGGATAGTTCATACAATGGCGAAGAATTGCCGCTATTTGGTTACTGATCAAAGTKCTTCAAAATTCCTTGTCAAACTGAGCGACTTAACTTCTTTCGTCAAAGKTTAAAATCCCAGCCGAAATAAATGTTTCCACTTAACTTGGCAACAGCGACGTCATGCCCTCATATCTCAGAGYTGGCTCTTTGTCAAGATCTTGCTTACCTCAGAAGAATAGATGAAGGTGAGTGAAGTGAAGTAATGTTGACATGGGTTTTTTGACTCGGTTTCAAGAATGGAATAGAAAGATTCGGTACTTTAGAGATGACAGGTTTAATGAAATGYGAAAATACCCCATAGTTTCCATGTCAAAGGTCATGGAAATGAAGATCATTTTCAGTCAAAAGAACAATATCTCAGGCTCTGTTTTGGGAGCCAGAGTGAATATGAATTGCTAAATCAGCATGAAGTAGAGTTTTTAGCGTGACGGTAGGACAATGCACAAAGAAGAAACTCAGCCAAAACCTTTGACCTTGAATTAAATCAGAAAGTATACAATGCTTAAATGCATCAACAAGRATACATAGCTAAACAAGCTGTTAGTCACCCGTACTTCAACTTTTCAGCATAATGAAACACAAAGCGTGCAAATGCTTAGGATAGAAAGTTGAGAAAGATGTGTCATATTTTAAAGGATAGTTCTTATTTTAAATGTAAGAAATAATTCAAAGAACTGYGATGTTGTTATTGAAGTCATTTTGATCAGGATTAAAGTGATACTTCTAAAGACAGATGTTGTTTCCATATGAGAGTTGACCCATGGGAGGTAGCGGATAATAATCATACCGGTCAAAGAACCACACCGGATATACATCTGCTTCAACTTACCAATCTTCTTAGAATTCTTTCTTTGKTTTGCAGGTTTTCGATCTTTTCGAAGCTTATTCAAAGAAWTATCCTTGTTTTTGAGTCTTTTTTCCCAAGCGTGTCGCAGACTTTGCGAACGAAGCTCCTTGAGTTTCTTTGCGAAGATTAAGTGTTCGTTTGGCGAAGTCATCCATAGTTGAAACTTTTTTGTTGGGATGATAGACGATCCCTCTCCTGAAATGAATTCAGGATTTGATGAACAAAAGAAACATTTTCCATTAAACGCACTTCAAGATCATAGCACGCGAAGGAACACGATTTCCTGCTGGTGAAGCCATAAGCGATTAGATGAGGTTTACAAGAGATAACTCTTAAGATTTCATCTCAAAACACTAATACTTCCTTTCTAAGCATCTAAATGTCCTTTTCTCAAGTTTCCTACATCGTCACGCTATATTTCKAACCAATATTTCGTCACTAAAGCATTTCAGTGTTTCACAGTCTGATTTCATAACCTCAGTGAACGTTATATTTTGCATTGTCATCAAAACTCACTGACTAGTAATGTTTGATTAACTTTAACTAATAAATCACGCCTTTCTCAATAAAAACACACATATATATTATCTATCATTAACTATACGTTAGTTGGTTACGTGCAATTAAATCTACTTTCAAAAAGACTGCCCAGCTGACAGAGACATGCAGCCAAAAATGATGACTAATATTTTTAGTYAAAATTTCCCAAATTAAGTACAATAGAATTGAAATAAAAGAAAGAACCAAGARTGAAGAGGAAATCGACCACAATACACTCCTCTTTCTTGGTGAATGGTGCCTGGGGCCCAGTCCTTACCTCCTCCGTCTTTGACTTTGTATATATTTCTTAAGTATGTCATATGAAATGCTGATTCAAGAGAATTGCAATAATTATAATAAGTACACGAAAAACATTGTACTTTCAAATTTTAAATCATTATTCGTCAAAAAAATGGTTGTATTACACTAATATGTATGTCGTTGGCATTCAGTCTTTTCAACTGGACGATCTTTTCGACAAGAGAGATCTTCGACAATCACGTGATCGTGGAAAAACTGTCATCCACCTAGCTTAGTTTCATATCATCCAAAATGGCGGCGGTCACGTGATCAGGTGCAAAATCTCTATATAGCTGTGTGTTTGTTTTTCCCAACTTACCTTTTGATACAGCTCTGAATTGAGCATTGAATCCATCGTGACTTATCGACTGATCAGCAACAAATTTCATMGTCATTGTGTTGGAACTTGATCTCAAGGGTGTAGGTATTTTCTTGCCACAGAACCGGCCGAGGCTCGGTGAGTCCACTCTTGGCCCATCAAATACTTCYACGTAGTCATAAACACACACGCTTGAGTCTGTAAAAATAGAAAAGGGATTATAAAAATGTATATGAATCACGTTTTATCGTACTAAATAAATTTACAACGCAACAAAATCATCGTCTTGTAAGTTTGGGAAACTTGTGTCGAAGAGTGCACCGTGGATTAGTCTACGTGGATCAACAAACATTTTGTTTGTTGTTCGGTTTTCTTATCAAATCCAACATCTAGCGCAACAATTCGTTGTTCAAATCTACCCTGCACGTGACATGCCCAGCCCAGCACATGTCTTTGTTGCGTGAGAACTTAGGTTAATCGGGTATAAAACGGGAAACGTCGTTTTTTGTTGTCAACAAATGGTGCACATAAAATTTTTGTTTCTCGTTTTAGTTACATTTAAAAATAGATATTCTCCACAGGAATCCCATGTCGTAAGAAGAAGACAATAATTATACTTGTTTGTTTATGCACGAAGTACGAAATAAGCGATGATCATCTCAACGGAAATGAATGACTGATGCGTATTAACCARGGCTGCGTAGGAGAGCGCTTGTGTCGGAAATTCTTGTAGACCGCAATCGGCTGTTTCGAGCTTTAGCAGGAATTAAATGGTAGACCAACAGCACAGGACAAAAATGACGGTTTTTTTTCAGTAGAATTCCATGTATGGCAGAACACAGAATACCAAGACAACAGTTAAGTACGAAGTGGAATTTAGCGAGGCTAATGGAAATAACTGACGAAATGAATGCKAATTTGTCAAGGAAGCATTGCGTTCGAAACCGTGCTAATTCAGGAAATATAAAGGTCTTTTCTTTTCAGCTAAAACAACCGGCGGTAACGCCCTTGAAATAGATAGTACTTGTCATGTCGTCAAATACACATCAACGGCGAATGGATGGTGTACACCTTCTAGTCGACTTACCAACGCTACAGGGAACAGCTTCACCAGGCTTACATCCATACATTACAAAGGCGTTTGAATTTTCTGCGGTACACAAAAGGTTTCATGTGCTGAAGGCCGTCGTTTGAAGAAATTTATGATGTAACYACTTCAATAACAATTTTTAAACATTTGCTTCCCTGGAGCTCTGTAAATTTGGTGTCAACTTGAAGAGTAAATTTTGAATAAAATAAAACATCTTACCTTCCTCAATCTCTAGTTCAAATTTACTGAAGGAAAGAGCTATGGTATGTTGCCTTGGTACTTCTATCTCGTAGGTACAGTTGACTGACAGGGGGTAGGCGTTAGGGTGGTTGGGTGATGTTATAGTTCCTCTTAGACCTGTAAACCGATGACTGCAGCCTTTATTGGAGGGGGAAAAAAGTATTAGTAATCAAAGCTTCTGGTGGCAAAATACAATTTCGAAACTTTTGTCTTTTGAAAAAGATCACCATATGTATATCTATGCCATGTAATTGGCTGTCTTTGCAACAAAAAATAGAAAGGAGAAAGGAGAAAAGAAGTTTATAGAGAAAAAAAAATAAGTAAATGAGAACAAAATGGAAATAAAGGAATGAAGGCGAAAGACAAACAGAGTAACTGTCGTAACTGAATGAAATGTCGTGAGGGAAATACACATAACAGAGTGAAAGTAGAAAAAAGTAAAAAGAGAAGAGTTGATTGAAACGAATAAAGAAAAAAAAAAGAAATAGTGAGAAACAAAAACATCAACGTAAAAAGTGGACAAGCAGAATAAAGGACTACGCGTATCGTAAGGTCTACGGTACTTAAGATATCGATTTATCAAGAACGGATGTAATTATTATGCTATATGAAAACACCAATCTATCAGTATAAGTTAAATATATCCATACATCAAGAACGGATTTAATTATTATGCTATATGAACACCAATCTATCAGTATAAGTTAAATATATATCTCACCAGATTGACTGTACCGTAATCGGAAGCCTTTAAAGTTCACCGAGAAGTCAGAATGAAACCTGATTAACACTGACGACTCYCGTGAKACTACGACCTGCAACGTTGTCGTCCCACAAAGCTTTGCGATACGTTTATTGTCGACTTTCCTAGATCCATCYTAGATTTCCAAGGAATCGTATTCACAATTGTGGCTTGTTTCGATCTGTCATAACAAAGGAAAAGTGATGATGAAAACTTTCTATGTGTATTGAAGTATGATTTCGGGTTATCTAGAACTAACAAATATATCGCGATCAGATAGTATGACCGCATTTACTCGGGTCAAACTACCCTGTTCCGAGTTCTTGGAAATGCGCAGGTTTGTGGAGAGAACAAGGAAAGGACATCTTTGATCGATACAATTTCATTTTTCAGTCAACAAAAGTAGAAAGGTGAAAGAACACGTCTCTTTTGATAACCTCATTCCACTATACACGGCAAGCAGCATGATGTATACCACACAACCCAAGGACTACACCTCGTGGCTGGATTATAATCACGAAATTTCAACCAAAAGAATTGATGAGACTTTCTGTTGTAAAAGATATTCCCTTCTATCATCTGACATGGCCGCAGGTTCTATCAAAGTTGAGCTTTTCACTATTTTCAAATTGTTGACAAGTGTTTTTATATATCAGTGGTGTAATCGCAAGGTACTTGAGTTTGGAACAGGGTGTGTCTAACACAAAAATCCCGCTCTGCGATAACCGAGACGACCCTGCCACGAGCCAACTAGTTTGATAGTGTTCTATGTTGTTGTGTACAGTCGGCTTTAGAACAATCAAATCCTTGACATCCATCAAAATGATTTCTTTTTGTTTGTTTCGGCTATGAATTTCTTTCGCAATAAATCTCAAAAATTCTTTTTCATGACAAACCTGCTGCAATTCGTCATTGAGAAAAATTTGTAAAAAGAAATACATATTCTCAGCAAAGTGAACTAGTTCTACATTTAATAGAATACTTAATATCAACAGTTTGAATTCTAAAGACTATATGAAACTTCACGTACTGCCAATGGAAATTCTACCACCATGCAAAAAGTGTAGAAACAATTTGCAAGGAATGAACACAAATCGTTTTACAGGGCCAAATTACGGGATCAGTCGCAGGAAATTTACAGAATCAAAAAAATAACATTTAGCGATTTCTTTTTACAATGGAAACATGTAGTTGTTCTATTACAATAGAGATGATTTCGTATGGGTGGGACACCGTTACCGCACGGTTACCTCACAGTTACCGGACCTGGCCGGCACAATGTTTGTGAACCAATGGGGCACTAGTGATTTGGTTACAGTACAATTACGGTCACAGTACAGTACCGTCAGTTTCCCACTCATACGAAATCCGCTCTATAATTACAAGGGTTTCCATTCTTTTTATCGTGTGTTTCTACACGGTATYGAATCGATTATTCTTTCGATGTGTATGTTTSCACGCCTKCCCAGTTCTCTGTGTAAACGTACAAGGTGCGATTGCTAAATTCCGCCCAACAACTAAAAACCTTATCAACATTTACAGGAAAGTGAGTAGGAGTGCTACGTTCTTGAAATTTGTTATCTAACACTTCTTTACCCCAAAATCCGTGAATGTAATAGTGATTCGGGATCCCTTTTCTCCGATGATCTTCCATCTACAGTCTGCTTCGTCGGGATAACTTCGTGGATAGTTCGGAGATGTGATTTCTCCGCTTGAGGACCTCAAAGTTCCACCACACTGGACTATAAAGAAACACACCGCAATCAAGAATCAATTTTCTGATAAACATCAAATGACGTTCATTTTATCTGTGTCTACTATCAGGAAATCTTTGGTTGAATTGGTTTTAATGAAATGTAAACAGCAAATAACAATTTTGTGGTAATTATCGAATGTCATGCATTTTATCCTTATCTGTCGTACGCAAATCTTTTCTTAATTTTTTCTCGATTATTTATCGTTAAGACAAATTTAAACTAACTTGAACTTGAACCAAGACGACGTCCGCCTCAGCAGTAAGGGAAGTAATGGAATTAAGATTACTGGATTTCTTGTTTAGCAATGACTGAAGGCACGAAAATCCTTATTAAATCATACACGCTGTTTATGGAATTACAGTGCTTTTTTATGACTTATTTAATGTCATATGGTAATAACATTTTGAACATGACGTACATTGCTACTCAGTGGTAGATATGTCAGTTTTATTAATGGGTAACCTTAGTGCAAGCATGCATGTTTTGAGGGTACACTTAAGCATGATAGCATATCATATCGGCATCATATCGACCGATAAAAAACCTTCAGAAATGACAAAAATGAAAGGGGATCGGAGGATGGTCCACAGATAAGATTCCCCTATTTTCATTGTTTATTTTGTACGCAAATTCATGGGTCATTCTAGAAAGAGTAGACGATGACCTGGGCCGTCCGGGAATGTCTWGTAGGATTGTATTTTCAAGCACTATTTCTGTTACAAATTAAGCAAATATTTGATCATTTTTGATAAAGTCYAACTATCTTTTTGGTACTTAGTAAAATGAAAGAAGGACACGAAGGGTTAGCCTGATAAGAAACTTCGGTCGATCCTACGCTCTTAAAAGGCCGTCCGCTGCCAAACTACATTTGGTACTCAGCCGTACAAAATACTGCATTCGACCATTATAAACCTCAAAAAGAGTTTCTGGACAAACTGTCTGTTATTTTAATACCAGTTGGTTAAATGCCCGATGACTAGTGATAACATAATAAATTGATTATCAAGGGCCATTATAATAACAACAACTTGGTGACAAAACAAAATTCAATATCTAAGTAAAATAAACAAGTAACCAAGCAAAAGTGTTTCAAAACCAAGTTATAAAAACGTAGTAATTACCATTTGGCGCTAGTTCTTGCGATGACGAAGCAGAGCTGTAGAGTTTGAAGCTATTTGGCGGAAGAGCGACCACTGTCGTGACGGCTATTGATCTTGAAGAATAAAAAAACGTTTAAAATACAATTCAAACATCTTTAACAAGCAATAACTTACATGAAAAGGTTYACACGGAATGCTAGATTCATGTTGCCAGTTTTCCAAGCTTTTTCGTTCGCGCTGATTCACGTTTTGACAGTCGCGCCACAGACTCACTTTGACGTCCGTACTTGGATGAGCAATTTTCACCAAAGGTCACTGTAATTAAATCCAGATAGAGGAAACGCTGGCATTCCCTAGTCGTGAAGMAATATATAGACTAACACGTGRTTGGAAAATGACCAAAAAAKGCGGAACAACAATGTCATTTGCTAAGAATTGTGCACATATATTAAAGCATATTTCATGACAGACAATGTGTTACTGTATGCAGTTACAACCTTTTATACGRGTGCCGGGCATATCATCGGACTCAGCGGTCATATCGGGGATTTAGACGACAATTCCCTCGGGAGGAATTAAGATTAAGAGAAATTGATATCATTCCGCCATTGTTTTTGTTGGCTCGTGAGCGAAGTTAACGCGTAAAAGACCATTCGGTGAAGTAAACGGCTCTGTCATTGAGGTCTTCACGATGTCGATGAAGATCCCAAATATAAGGTTAGTTGCTGTTGATATACTTATAACATTTGTATTCGTGTAAAGAAATACTTATCACTTAAACGAGGCAATCTTTCTTCAAGTCAATTTGGAGAAATTTGAAGACGTTTATCATTCGTAGGGGTTTTAATTGAAGTTCTTTATCATTACCCTCGGTCTTGAGATAGATAATATAGCTAAAACCCGATCTAAAATGGCTTCTATTCATTTCCTTTATTAAAATAAATCCCACACAAACGAACWGCTAGGCAAGTAAAGTCGACAACYACTAATATGTTATGAATTCCGTTTACAGTTTGTTATGGCTTTCGTTTTTATGTTGGCAATGCGGAGTGGCAAATAGCCAAGGTAAGCTTTGATTAGAACAGGACATKGAACGATATAAACSTACCATGACCGAAGAGTTAAACAATCACCGCGAACAGACTCTCAATGTTATACCGCTCTAGAGATAAATGCACAACGTTTTAATCCCGTATAGCCCCACTCGTTTACCTTTTTTCTTCGTTTTGTGTTATTTTTATCAAAACAGTCTTTACAAATTGTCCAAATTCAAGTATTGACTTAAAGGTTGAATAATAGTTTAATCTTAGGATTAGTAACTGAGGACTTGCCAAACTTCTTAATTGAAATAATAATCTTTCTGGGTCCACATTAGACGGGATATTTGATATATTTTTAGTAGCGAGAAAAGGGGATCYTGATAACATCTTTGAAATTACACCTATTATTAGGTATGTCAGTCAAATGGTCGAGTAAAAATAAATTCAATTTTCAATCCGAAGAGAAAAGATTTAAGAGGTTAGACCGACTTTCTTAGGCCAGATTTGTCTTCTATACTTGACCTCTTTAAGGCCCCTCTCTCAGTTTTCTGTCGGAAGTCTCGATGAAAAGCAGAAAATAAAACACAGTGACGTCACAACCGCAAAAAACGATGAAACAAAATACAAAAAAAAGACAAAAAAATAGATCCGCAACACCACGACCACCACCACCACCACCACCAACAACAACAACAACAACAATAACAACAACAACAAAAATGACAAAACACACATAAGAACATATATGGTTACGTCATATTCGCAGTTTCTCGGATTTTTTTGTGTTATTTTTATGACGACATTCAGATGAAGATGGCATTTCATATATATCATATGGTATGTATTATTCGGGTATTTCATATACCATCATGGGTATTTTCCCGTTTGATTCTATGCGCTCTTTTCTCTCTAGATAAGATTGTAAATCAATCGTGCTCTTTGGAATTACGCTTAATTAACCGATATAACTGGCATGTCCTGTTAATCACTGTATATCACGTGACTTTGGAAAAAAAGCTAGTATTCCTCCTTATTCTCTTTAATTTTGACATTTTCAATCAAGAGTGCGGCTGGGAAAAAAACTACAGTCAATATGTCGACGTGGTCATGTTTATCACGGAATTTGACGTCATTTCAGTATTCCGTGACTTGTGGTGCAGCCCGAGTAAGCGCTCTAAGAGCGTCTAGTTCAAGTGTTCTGCAGTTTGATGACAAATTAAAGGTTTATGTATGATTAAAACGGTCAAATTTTTTTAAAATGATTGTCGCATATTATGTGTATAATTTTGTTGATTCCAAGCAGCATARTGTGGTGGTACCCTAATGAAAGCGTTTGGCTACCTTACGTCACCTAACTACCCAAACAACTACAACCACGACAGTGACTGTTCCTGGATAATCAGTGCAGCACGTGGTCACAAAATAACCTTCAAAGTCACACACTTTCMTCTGGAATCASACCGATCGTGTGGCAAAGATTACCTGGAGATATTCGATGGACCAAATCTCTATTCACCATCTCTAGGGCGGTARTGTGGTACGAACAAACCATTACCAYTTACTTCGAGCACCAACAAACTTTACATCAGGTTTAAGACGAACTCGGCCAAGGAATTCATGGGCTTCAGAGCCATGTTCAACTCTTCTCTGGGTAAATGATTTTCTTGCTCTTTMTATTTTGTTGTCTTTCAAATTCATCTTCACACTCATGAAGGTCGATACCTATTTACCTTTCTTAGTCTGTGGAGGGACGTATAAAAGAAGTCGTGGATCTTTGTCTTCTCCAAACTCYCCACATAACTACTACTCCAGCTCTGACTGTCTGTACAAGATCGTCGTCCCACGCGGACACACCGTCAAAGTCAGGTTTACAAAGTTCTATCTGGAACCAGCCCAAGATTGTGAGTATATAGTTAAGAATGGAAGSGGAAGMCCAAAGACTAGTGTTAACAATGTTAACMGTTTACAAGAAAGTGAGTGAGTGAGTGTGTGTGTGGAAGATTTGTCTCAACTCTTAGKTGGTTTACYCAATTTTGAATTTACAATGAAGGAAGGAAGGGATAGAAAGAGTGTTTGGGAAGTAGGAAGCATAAGTCATTAGGATAAGTAGGAAGGAATGTGAAAAAAAGATGAAAAAGATAAAACAGAGAGATGAAAAAGATGAAAAAAAGATGAAAAAGATAAAACAGAGATGAATCTGATAAAAGAAAAGCAAACACTGATGCAAACCTTTTTGTTTATCATGCAGCCGGTCAATGCTACGACTACGTCCAAGTGCATGATGGGAAGACCGTTTTGGCGCCATCTCTCGGGAAATTCTGCGGAAATTTGTCACCATTTACCGTACGATCTACGTCTCACGTGATCATAGTTAGGTTTATCTCAGACAAGTCCATTAACAGGAAAGGCTTCCAGCTAACATACACTGCAGAAGGTAACCTTCAACATTTATTTCCCTTAATGATCCCGCAACGTCGTCATATGGACCAGTGAACTCGCAAGTTAACCCACCCTAAATAAGACACCATTATAGACAATGTCACTCACATGATTTGGAATCAACACTTAAAATAAACTTCTTCGTAGTTCCAGGAGGAAGCACAACACAACGGCCACGTGTAACCACACCCACTACGGCTGCTACTGTGTGCTTATCCATCGAGTTTCGCTGCGGGAATGGTAAATGTATTGATAGACGATGGAAATGCGACAGACAGGACGATTGTGGTGATCTGTCRGACGAAAGAGGATGTCCATGTCGGAGGTACCAGTTTAAGTGTGACAATGGTCGCTGCACCGATCGTAACTTTGTATGTGATGGTGCCGATGATTGTGGTGATGGAAGCGATGAAAAGAACTGCACCAAACCTACAACGCCTAGTGGTGAGAACAGTTATGTTTTCATATACTGTTGAAATAGTGCATATAAATCTAACCCTGTGCCTTTCCTCTTCACAGTTACAGTCAGTTGTTCTCGAGCGAACGGAGGCTGCGAGCACACTTGTATCCAGTCCATTGTTCGTGGCTCAGTGGCCGTGAGATGCCAGTGTAAGCCTGGGTATAAATTGCAACCCGACGGAAAGAGTTGCAGAGGTAAAACTGTACACTTCTACCTTTCGACGAGAATATACACCTAGTTCACAATTGCCGGAATTTGAGATTTATACATCTATAATACAGTAATCAGCATCATTATCATCATCATCATCATTATCGTCAGTAGTGGCGAGTGTCCATTTTTTAGAAATGATTATTGATTATCATTCAGTGCTAAAAAATCCTTTAACGAGTATCATAAATAAGCCTTTTTTCTTGMTTTTTCTTATGTAGATATCAACGAGTGCAGCCAATCAAACAAGGTCTGTCAACAGAGGTGTCTAAATATCCCCGGCAGTTACGTTTGCGCATGTCGCAGAGGATACGCCTTGGATCTTGATAAAGTCACGTGTAAAGGTACCGCCCTCTTTGGTTTTCTATTCCTTTCCTTTTTCTCTTACCGTCAGTTTTCTTCTCGCTCTGATATTAAGGACTTGATTATAATTATGAAGTTGGCTGGCCCGGGTGACCGGGCTGTTTTTCTTTTGTTTTGAGTCCTCTGGGGAACCAAGCAGCTTCTTCATATAATCAAGCCCTCAGACGCAGAAAGAAACCTCGTTATAGTAGGTTATCAGGGGAATGACGTTGAAGTCTTGTTGACGTAAACTACSTATTAAAAGATGGAGACGATCATGCTTCATCTCAAGTCAGTTTAGAATGACTATTAACTTTCTACCTTTTATAAAAGACCTTTTGTAGTACGATAACCAACCTCCTTCCCTAATCCCCTCACCCACACAAATATTTGAAATTTCTCGGTTGTCTTTGCGTATAAATCTGTAGTGCTTCTTTCACCAGACATTGATGAGTGCAAGATGAAAAACAACGGRGATTGTGATCACACTTGTATCAATAAAAATGGAAGCTACAGCTGTGCTTGTAGACCTGGTTTTCAATTACACAGTGATGGCAAAAAGTGTTATGGTAGGAAAAC